AATCCGAGGGAAACAGAGGGAGAAGAAGAGAGAATCTAAGTCTTAAAACTGCAAATTCGACAGCCAGTCTGGAGTGGCTGAGGGGATTTGGGATTACTTGAACGCAGCAAGCTCAAAAAAAAAAAGCCGAAGGAAGAGATCACTGGCTGCAAAACCTACACGGAGCACAGTAAAGTAGCAAATTAGATTAAAAAGTGTTTATGATTTTGTGTCCCCATTGGATAAAAAACAAAATGCAGCACGGCTGGCCCATTCAGCAACGGCAGCAGTATACAACAGACATGTTTAGTTTTGCAGACTGTACTGCTTCCAGACGGTAACGAGAAAACTACGAGCAAGAAAGATGAAAACTACGATGCAGAGCAGAAAGAGGTGGAGAGATTTATTAAACCGCTAAGGATAAAGTTACCGTTAAGCTTCTTTCCAGGCTTTCTTATTTGGAACGCTTCTTATCTGAACTGCATTACGTTTTGACGTCAAATCTGCTTTCTAGGACAAGATGTGAATTTGCTAATAAAATTTTCTAAGCAAACTGATTCAGATAGAAAATTGACAAATAATTAAGTGATGCATGTTGAGAGGATTTAAAAAAAAATTCCAATGAACAATTTAATACTTCTAGTCTTTTCATCAATGAAATAAATGCAACTTTTTCCGGTTTAGACTGCACCATAAATGCTTTCCAATAAAGCATTAGCCCCCAAGTCTATGCTGGATGTTTAGTTTTTGAAATATAATATCAGCCTGATATTTTAAGTTTTGCCAAATGAAAAAGTTTAAAAAATTCATCTGCTTATAATACATCTACACAGAACACATGATTAATTCATAATTAATTCATAATTCATTCAGAATGCATTAAAAAGAGAAGAAAAATCACTACGTTTACCAGGAGTCGAATTCTCTTTATTATTGTAAATTTGGCAAACTGCTTAACAATTACAATAGTTTATAATCATTGTGGTTTTTTCGCTCGCGGCTGTTATCAACAAGATAAATACATTCATTCTACCACTGATTTCTTTTTTGAGAAGAACAGATATGCACTAATCAAAAAAAGTCAAATTTATCAAAAATTTGCTGAAATTAATTTCATTGTAAAAACTGTTGGCTACACCACTGCTAAGGGCATATTAGAGTTTTGGATCATTGCAGCATTCTAAATTTCCTGTAAAAACTGGTTAATCGTAAATTTCCTAGATACACAAATTAATCAAACCCACCATAAGCTTGATTTTGAGCTATCCTCAAAAGATGGGAACATCAACAGCCCTGCCAGCAGTTGGACCCCGCTGAAACCTTCCACCAGTCAAATTCCTTGCAAATGGCTCTGCTTTTCACAGAAAAATGATTGGCCAACACACGGGCTGCCGTGCGAAGATGCGTTTTTTTGGAGCGCCCGTACGTGGGTACCACACACCCTGAGTCTGGGTTTGAGCTCAGTGAGAATTAGATGAACGGGAATATTCTCTTAAAATTACATTCTTCTAGCTTTTCGAGTTTCCGAGTTAGCAACTTACCCGAAAAAATTTTGGCGGGCCACTGCATGGGTACCACGCATACCCGAGGGCAGGGTTTGAGCTCTGAGACTTACATGGGCGGGAAACATCCTCTTAAAATTTCAGCTTTCTAGCTTTTTCTGGTTCTCGAGTTAGCGATTTACCCGTAAAAAACTTTCAGGAGCCCGCACTTGAACACCACGCGAGTAACAGCGCCCATTTTGGAGATTGGGGCCCGTCGTCCCTTTAGATTAAGCTCCCCAAGCTTCAGCCCTGTAGCTTTTGTAAGTCTTGAGATGAAAAACCGTGACAGACGCATACACGGACACACAGATACACAGACAAACACACAGACTACCCCTCGTCAATATGCGTTTTCTGCATTGCACAGCTGCAAAAAACGCATAAAAAACAAGAGTTTACCAATTACCGATTTTATTAGAAAAGTAAATTTCATTCTCTTAATTTTATAAATGGAAAACAGTGGCAAATTTTGAACAATGCTGCATTTCCTACATTCTAATACTGTGGAAAAATCATTTTTTAAAAGTTTTCAGTTGCAAGGAAAATGCAGCTGTACAGATTACCTCAGCTTTTTCTAAACCACTTTTCTACAACAAAATGTTAACTGCTCGACTATTTTCCAACCTAACGAAATTCAAACTTCAAAAAATTTCAAGCCTTAAAACAAAAGCATGATTTCACGAAATACAGCACGACACGATACACCACCAACAACAAAAAAGAATTCAAAATATTCGAGTGCTAAACGACCCCTAATATCTAGTCCAACTGGCTACGGTAGGAGTACTGAAAATTTTAGGAACAATAATTCCTGATAATAGCTCATGAATCCATTCCCTTCTGCCTAGGCCACAATAAAAAGAATAGGCCCTTGTCTAAAATCAACAGCCTCTTAAATTCAACTGGCAGAGAAATTTTTGGCTCTGTCAGAAACTAACACATTTTCTGCCTCCTTGTCAAATTTCTAGCAGACTTAGCTTCTACATGTCTAGTATCATCTTACAATCTGTTTTGTAAAGTAGCCATATTCTAATTTAAACAATTTCGCATTCGGAATTCAAAAGTATAATTTTACGGCACTTGAATTTTATCACTTAGTTGGCAAAAAAGAATTCATTTCAAGATTCGACTGCTCAGTTTTCGATTTTGTCTTAACTACTTAGAGGAACAGCTCCTAATAAAATCCGATTTTAACGTTGGCAACATTACATTTACTTTTGAAGTTATGTCTAGTTCTAACCTCAAAAATAAACCAACCAGCTCGATCAGTGCCAACATTATCGACCAGAGCTTGTCGCAACAAACTCCGCATTGCTGTACCGCTAAGTCGATCGTTTGGCAAGATTCGTGGGTTGGGCTTCAAATTTGATTGTTTATTGGATGCGCGAACAAATAAACCCTAAAAATGATAGTGTACAGATCACCTTAATACTGCTAAAATGTTCGACTTTTTCTGTAAGATAATTTTTTTTTTTGGCCTCTTTCGTAGTAGAGTCAATCTTTTTCAGTCCAATGATTTCTTTAGCAATGCCTAGTAAGCATCAAAAACAAATCAAACTCCCCGCCATAACACTAAAGTCCTAACTCTATCAAGGCCTTTGTA